CAAACCCGGGGTTTGAGTGAGGAAACACCTCAAAAATTCAATATCAACCCTGCCACTGACAGCACTCTGGAATGTCCCCACATGGAATATTCAAATCTGGGGTTTGAGTGAGGGAACACCTCAAAAATTCAATATCAACCCTGCCACTGACAGCACTCTGGAATGTCCCCACATGGAATATTCAAATCTGAGGTTTGAGTGAAGGAACACCCCAAACATTCAATATCAACCCTGCCACTGACAGCACTCTGGAATGTCCCCACATGGAATATTCAAATCTGGGGTTTGAGTGAGGGAACACCCCAAATATTCAATATCAACCCTGCCACTGACAGCACTCTGGAATGTCCCCACATGGAATATTCAAATCTGGATTTTCAGTGAGGGAACACCTCAAACATTCAATATCAACCCTGCCACTGACAGCACTGAAATGCCCCCACATGGAATATTCAAACCCAGGTTTGAGTGAGGAAACACCTCAAACATTCAATATCAACCCTGCCACTGACAGCACTCTGGAATGTCCCCACATGGAATATTCAAATCTGGGGTTTGAGTGAGGGAACACCTCAAACATTCAATATCGGAATGGCTTAGAATAAAAATGTCACTGTCACGTTTTCTGGAAAAATCCTTTTGGCAGAATTTCTCTCCTGGGAAGCTGAGAAGCCTCAGAGAGAAATGAAAACGATAATTATCTGATTGCTTCTCCTGTGTTGGCTGATTTGGAATGTGGCTGGAGGTTTGTCCAACAGGTGAATGTTTGATTGGTTTCATGGGAATTGTTTTTAATTAATGACCAATCACCATCAGCTGTGTTGGACTCTGAGCACAATCACTTTTCATGATCATTCTTGTTAAACCTTCTGTCTGTATCCTTTCTCCTTCTTTTATATGGTTCTAGGATAGCATAATTATAATATACTATAATATAATATATAATATACTGTAATACATACTATACTATAATATAATGTACTATAATGTAATGTACTATAATATAATGTAATGTAATATAATATATATAATATATAATATAATATATAATATATATTATACTATAATATATAATACTATTACACTATAATACTATAATACTATAATACATACTATACTATAATATAATGTACTATAATATAATGCACTATAATGTAATGTAATGTAATATACTATAATATAATATAAAATAAATCTGCCTTCTGAGAACATGGAGACAGATTCTCAATTCCTCCTTCATCCTGGGGACCCCTCACAAACTCAACAAAAACCAATCAGAACAAATATCAGATATCACAGCAAAGCTCAAAAATCATTTCCTTGTGGGGCTGGGTGATGTTTCCAAGAACATCACAGAACACAAAAACAGCCAAACAACCCAAAATATTAAAAAAACTGGTTTTTTTCAGAGAACTTTCATTTGACCATTCAGTTTTTTTTCCTTTAACTCCCTCATGAGAAACGTACACCGGGCTGCAAAGAACTTACCTGTTGATTTTCAAATGGATGGAAAGGCAAAGTATTGGTTTCCCTATCAGCAACTTCCTGATTTACCTAGAACACAAAAAAAAAAAACATAATTTGATTAAAAATCTTCTCAGTTCCTAAATGAGCTGCTCCGGTTTGGAGCTTTTGTACCTCACTGAGGGTTTTATAAATCCAACTCTAATCCAGGCCTAGAAATGATGTAGGAAAACATTGTGGAGCTGTTTCTGAATGGAATTTTTTTATTTTTTTTCCCTGATTTCATTGACCACGAGCAATTCCAGGGAGTTCTGTGGGTCTTTAAACAAAGCCATGCTTTAAATGTCTGAAAAATGAAGTTTTGCAGGAAGTGTCTCACCCNAATGGAATAAAATGGATTAGATAGAATGGAATGGAATGGAATGGAATGGAATGGAATGGAATGGAATGGAATGGAATGGAATGGAATAAAATGGAATAAAATGGATTAGATGGAAGGGAATGGATTGAAATGGAATGGAATGGAATGGAATGGAATAAAATGGATTAGACGGAATGGAATGGAATGGAATGGAATGGAATGGAATGGAATGGAATGGAATGGAATGGAATGGAATGGAATGGAATAGAATGGAATGGAATAGAATAGAATAGGAATAGAATAGAATAGAATTCTTGGAAGGATATGGATGTGGTAAAGCAAAATGAACAACCCCAAACCCCAAAATTCCAATTTTTTTCCATTATAAACCCAACAGGAAACTGCAGAGCACCAACATGAAATTCCTTCCAAGATTCATGGCAAAACCCCACCATTATTTACTCTCCAAAACCAGATTATTGCTACAAATACCAGCATTTAAACCCATGCTGAAATATTAAGACCATCTAAAAATTATTGAATTTTTCTCTGCCGAGCCCCTGGGTCACCCTGGTTTTGTTCCCCTCTGGAAACCAGGGACAGGACAAAGAGGAGAAGTTTTACTTTTCTGTCGAAAAGGAGGAAAAATGAGAATTTCCTGTGCCCAGAACCCACCCGGTGATCCAGGTGCTGCAGCCACTTGTGCACTTTGAGCGCTTATAATTCTCCCAGCTGGAGAATGATAAACCCAACATGAAATTATTTCCAATTTTAATGGCAAAACCCCACCATTATTCACTCTCCAAAACCAGATTATTGCTACAAATACCAGCATTTAAACCCATTCTGGAATTTTAAGACCATTTAAAAATTATTGAATTTTTAGACCCATTCTGGAATTTTAAGACCACTTTAAAATTGTTGAATTTTCTCTGCTGAGCTCCTGTGTCACCCTGGTTTTGTTCCCCTCTGGAAACCAGGGAAAGAACAAAGAGGAGAAGTTTTACTGTGCAGTTTTAAATGAGGAAAAATGACAATTTTCTGTGCTCTCAGAACCCAACAGGGAACTGCAGAGCACCAACACAAAATTACTTCCAAGTTTCATGGCAAAACCCCACCATTATTTACTCTCCAAAACCAGATTATTGCTAGAAATACCAGCATTTAAACCCATTCTGGAATCTTAAGACCATTTAAAAATTTTTGAATTTTTAGACCCATTCTGGAATTTTAAGACCACTTTAAAATTGTTGAATTTTCTCAGCTGAGCCCCTGGGTCACCCAGGCTGTGTTCCCCTCTGGAAACCAGGGACAGGACAAAGAGGAGAAGTTTTACTGTGCAGTTTCAAAGGAGGAAAAATGAGAATTTTCTGTGCTCAGAACCCAACATGAAACTGCAGAGCACCAACACAAAATCGCTTCCAAGTTTCATGGTAAAACCCCACCATTATCTACTCTCCAAAACCAGATTATTGCTACAAATACCGGCCTTTAAACCCATGCTGAAATTTTAAGACCATTTAAAAATTATTGAATTTTTCTCTGCCGAGCCCCTGAGTCACCCGGGGTTTGTTCCCCCCTGGGAACCAGGGAAAGAACAAAGAGGAGAAGTTTTACTTTGGTGTTTCAAATGAGGAAAAAGCAGAATTTTTTGTGCTCTCAGAACCCAACATGAAACTGCAGAGCACCAACACAAAATTGCTTCCAAGTTTCATGGCAAAACCCCACCATTATTTACTCTCCAAAACCAGATTGTTCCTACAAATACCAGCATTTAAACCCATGCTGAAATTTTAAGACCATTTAAAAATTACTGAATTTTTCTCTGCCAAGCCCCCGAGTCACCCTGGTTTTGTTCCCCTCTGGAAACCAGGGACAGGACAAAGAGGAGAAGTTTTACTTTTCTGTTTTAAATGAGGAAAAATGAGAATTTCCCGTGCCCAGAACCCACCCAGGTGATCCAGGTGCTGCAGCCACTTGTGCACTTTGGCACCCACCTCTCCGAGTTGGAGAATTACAAACTCAACATGAAAGTGCAGAGCACCGACACGAAATTATGTCCAAGATTAATGGCAAAACCCCACCATTATTTACTCTCCAAAACCAGATTATTGCTACAAACATCAGCATTTAAACCCATGCTAGAATTTTAAGACCAATTTTAAATTTTTGAATTTTCTCCGTCAAATCCCTGCCGAGCCCCCGAGTCACTTCAGTTGTGTTCCCCTCTGGAAACCAGGGACAGGACAAAGAGGAGAAGTTTTACTTTTCTGTTTCAAAGGAGGAAAAATGAGAATTTCCCGTGCCCATAACCCACCCCGCTGATCCAGGTGCTGCAGCCACTTGTGCACTTTGCCATCCACCTCTCCCAGCTGGAGAACTATAAACCAACCCACCATGAAATGTTTCCAATTTTAATGGCAAACCCCCACCATTGTTTACTCTCCAAAACCAGATTATTGCTACAAATACCAGCATCTAAACCCATGCTGAAATTTTAAGACCATTTAAAAATTATTGAATTTTTCTCTGCTGAGCTCCTGTGTCACCCTGGTTTTGTTCCCCTCTGGAAACCAGGGACAGGACAAAGAGGAGAAGTTTTACTAAGGAGGAAAAATGAGAATTTCCCGTGCCCAGAACCCACCCCGCTGATCCAGGTGCTGCAGCCACTTGTGCACTCTGGCATCCACCTCTCCCAGCTGGAGAATGATAAACCCACCATGAATTATTTCCAAGTTTCATGGCAAACCCCACCATTATTCACTCTCCAAAACCAGATTATTGCTACAAACATCAGCATTTAAACCCATGCTGAAATTTTAAGACCAATTTTAAATTTTTGAATTTTCTCCCTTAAATCTCTGCCGAGCCCCTGAGCTACCTAGGTTGAGTTCCCCTCTGGAAACCAGGGACAGGACAAAGAGGAGAAGTTTTACTTTTCTGTTTTAAATGAGGAAAAATGAGAATTTCCCGTGCTCAGAACCCACCCCGCTGATCCAGGTGCTGCAGCCACTTGTGCACTTTGCCCTCCACCTCTCCCAGCTGGAGAACTGTAAACCAACCCACCATGAAATTTTTCCAATTTTAATGCCAAAACCCCACCATTATTTACTCTCCAAAACCA